AGGGTTCACTGTATTCTTTGAGTTTTTCTTGTCTGGGAAGACTCTTACTTCTCCATCTATCATGATCGATAATTTGACTGAGTAGAGGATTCTTGGGTTTGCATTGTTTTCCTTCAATTTTTGGAATATGTTTCTCCACTCTCTCCTCTTCATAGTTTCTGGTGATAGGTCTGAGAATATTCTTATTTGGGAACGTTTATATGTGATTGCTTGTTTTTCCTAGCTGCTCTCATGATTTTCTCCTTTTCCTCAAAGTTGGATAGTTTATTATGTGCCTTGGTGACTTCTTGGGATTCAGTCTAGCTGGTTCTTTCAGCCTCTTGAGTGGTTGCCGAGTTTTCAATCATTAAGCTGGGGAAGTTTTCCTCCAAGAATTCCCTCACTATTGTTGCAGATGACTTCTTTGTTGTGCCTTCCTCTGGTAATCCAATAGTTCTAATGTTGTTCCTCTTCATAGCATCAAACAGCTATTTGGTTTTCTTCAGCTTCTCTGATGATCTTATTAGATTTTTGTTTGTATTTGTTAAAGTCTGCTTGGCTGTCCTCCAAGTCACTGGTGCAGTTCTCTGCCTCCTCCAGTCGATTCTCAGGGTCCATGAGCCTGCTACTGGTTTTTTTTATCTCCTCCCTAAGCTCTTGTATTTCCCTTTGGTGTGTGGACTTTATCTCCTCTATTGTTTTATCCTTTTTCTGTATTGCTTCCCTCATGTCCTGTATGACTCCAAGCAGCATTCTGAAAATTTCCTTCTGTGGCAGCTCAATGTCTGTTTCTTCTATGTAACGTTTGGGACATCTTTTGCCATTGCCTTTTGTTTCTCCTGTTTTTTCATTGAGGTTGTTGGGACTGATGGCTGTTTTCATTGCGTTGTTTTAGAGGAGCCAGTTGTCATTTTCCAGGGAGTCGAAGAGTACTGGCTATCTCTGGGAGAGTCGTAGAATGATTCTTTGAGCGCTCTACAACTAATTTCACTATGGAATTCACCTACCACTTTATCCTCTTGTGGTTTCACTCTCAAGAGGAGTGCCCCAGAAGGCTGGTGGGTTACCTGCTTTGGTGTAGAACACCGCAAAGTGTGGGTGGAATTGCCCTGGCCAGGTAGATCACTAGAGGTTGGGCAGACGTTCCTGCAGCAGCTTGGAACATTGACAAGTGTTGACTGAGCTGCTTTAGGGCGTGTGAGGCACTAAGGTAGGCGGGAGGAAGTTCCCTCAGTCACATGGGACAACAGAAGAAAAATAGTTCCCCCAGCCACACAGGCAGGAATTCCCTGGTAAGAAGTTGGGTGTAGTATCCCTGGTGGAGGTCAGCCAGCTTTCCCCAGCCTCGGGCTATGCTGCACAGGGTGAAGGTCACCTAACTGGGTGGGCAGCAGGTGTAAATGCCCTAGGCTAAGGGGAGTGGTCTGGAGGTCAGCAGTGGAGTGTGAGAGAACAGGGAGGAGACAAAGAAGAAAAAATAAAATAAAACCTAGGCCTGCTAAGACGGTGCTGGTATAGAGAGAAGAGAGGGAAACAAAAGTAACAATACAGCTGAGCTCTGATCACTGCCCATGGGGCTGCAAGGGTTTAATCCCTGCCCCGGGGCCATGGGAAGCTCTGGCTATGTTGAGATTAAGCCCGTGGGCCGGCTCCAAATGGTCCTGGCTCCAGCCGAGACAGTGGCGGGGCTAAGGTCAAGCACTAGCCAGCCTCCACTGTGGTAAGCCAAAACCCCCCAACCCCTCAAAACTTTGTGGATCTGTGCCTACTTATCTTTATGATGCACCTCCTGGGATCCAGCAGTGTTGAATTTTCTTCTTAGCTCTCCTGGGCTGATTTCTGCAAAGTCCTTCTGGTATGTCACATCATATTCTTTCTAACAAAAATTTTAGTCATCTGTTAATGTTTTCTATTTCTTTCCTTTGTAGTTTTCAGTGGAAAAAAAATACTGAACTTTATTTAGATCCTTAAAATTTTTCTTTAATTAATTGGAAAAATGTGGCAGACTTTTGGTTATGAATATTGTAAAAGGTGTCATTTCTTCCCAAAATTAATTATAAATTCAATGTAAGTTTATTTAAACCCAAAGGGATTTGAATGCGTGAACAAAAGATTTACAAAATGAATCTCAAATATTAAATAAGCCAGAATAGCAAAGTGGAAAAGATGAAAAATGCCTTGCATAATTTAGGATGGGAGAGAAATTAAATAAAGCTTACATGTCCAAAAGATAGGAAAACAAATTTTTGCATTCTAAATAGTTAAACAGCTCCTATAAATTAGGTATTAGAATAATGACATTATGGCAGAATGCTTGAGGGTACATATATTACTTAAAAATAGGAAAAAGAAAAAATACAACGGGGGGATTTCCATAAAATCCAGAATTCCCCCCAATGCTATGTATTTAAATTTTTTAACAAAACAACCTTATCACCTTCGAAGTATTCTCCATTACACTTAATACATTTGTCAAATATTTTTGTCAAATCTGCTATTCCATTCTAGGAAACATTTTTCAAACTCATCTGGGTGGCTGACAGCACCTCCCTCCTTTTTTTCTTCACCTCTTTTATGGCATCAAATCTCTGTCCTTTCATGTCCCTCTGCATTTGCGGAAACAAAAAAGTTACACAAAGTGAAGTCAAGAGAGTAAGGTGTGTGGAGCAAGAGAGGCATGCTGTTTTTTGTCAAAAGCTGGCGCACTGAGATAATTGCCTGAGCAGCTGCATTTTCGTGGTGGCAAAACCCTGGCTGCTACAAATCAGGCTTTTTTTGGACACACACCGTTATGCAATCTTTTCAGAACCTCAAAATCAGTTGTTCTCAGCTTTCCTAATCCTGCGACCCTTTAATTCAGTTCCCAATGTTGTGGTGATTCCCAACCTTAAATTATTTTCATTGCTACTTCATAACTGTAATTTTGCTACTGTTATGAATCAGGCAACCCCTGTGAAAGAGTCATTCGACCCCCAAAGGGGTCACAACCCACAAGTTGAGAACCACTGCTCTAAATAGAAAGCTTGATTAGCAGTCTAACCTGTTGGAGTGAACTCCAAATGCACCACAGGTTGATCTTTTCGTCCATTCTGGAAGTTGATGGCCATTCAGTACGAGGTTTGTCATCAATCAACATTTCACCTTTTTTGAAATGAGAAAACCACTTGTACACTTGAAGTTTTCCCATAGCACTATCCTTTTAAGCTGTGTTCAACATCACAACAGTTTCTACAGCATTTTTCCCGAGCAGGAAACAAAATTTCACAGCCACGTGCTGTTTTGAATGAGCTTTCACAAAAAACAAGGTTCAAGCAAAACATCTTTTATAAAAAAATTCACTGCGACTAGAGAGAACCTTCCCAGGTGATGCCACGGGGTTCACTAATGCAGAGCGAGTTGCTGGATGCTCACCTTGTGGGGAAAAATGCGTACTAAGAAAGCTCCACTCAACACAACACGAGTCGGGGGGGGGACCCACCCCATGTATGAAAAAAAAAAAAAAAAAAATGACCAAACAAAGAATTGTCTTCTTGCATTATCCTTTTCTTTTAATCCTTTTTAAAAATCTATTTTAATTGCATTTGTTCTTTTTCTAGTATGATACAGATTTTTATATTCTCGACAAGTATCCCTTGGCTGTCAGACCTTTCTATACCATGCCTGACCCAAGAAACCCTGTAAGTGATTTGGTTTTAAATGATGTAAACTAAAAAGGATAATTCTGTTGTTATTGTATAGTGGAATAGTGATTTTCATTCATAATTTGCTGTTTTAATGGACTTAGTATAATATACGTTATAACTGCTTCCTGCCAGTACATCATAATCCTGTTGTCAGATTTGAATATTCTAGCAAATTTGTCCAGAAAACATTTATTAAAAATCATTTTCATGGGTTATTTTTCTGAAGATTTATGAGGAAAGGGGATCATGTAGTTGATAAATGCCCTTCACTGATTTGTAGACTGTGTTAGCAAATCATTGACTTTGACTTGGGAATTGACATTCTCTCTTAGGAGTTAATAATCTGGGTGACGTCTTGTTGCTTTACATGGTTTTCTCTTGCCATTTGCTCTTGACTCCCTGAAAGCAGTGTGCCTTAGCATCACCTTAAGGGCTATTAAAAATACATTTCTGATTCTGCAAGTCTGGGGGGAAGCCTGAGAATTGTACTTCTTCTAAGTTCCTAAGCAATAGCTTTCTGGCCTACGAATCACACTTTATAAACCGCAGTTTTATTGGGTAAGGGTACTGGTAGTGCATTGATCAGGTGCTCAACTGCTAACTAGAAGGTCAGTGGTTTGAGCACACTGGCCACTCAGTGCAGTGGGAGAAAGGTATGACTGTCTACTTCCATAAAGACGTACGGTCTCAGAAACCCGAGGAACCCAGTTTCTGTTTGGTCCTTTAGGGTCACTGTGAGTTGGATGACTTGACAGCCTCAGATATTTTACTAGATATGGGGGAAGAAAGTTAAAGCTGCTCTCAGCAGGCACCTGATAGGAGAGAGGTTAAGCAACAGTGAATTGAATTTCAATTTACTTTCCTTTAAAAATGTTTTAAGTTTCCAAGCTCTTAAAAATGTCCAACATCTAAAAAAAAAAATTTTTTTTTAAATGTCCAACATCTGTTGATAATTTGAAGTCCAAAAATGACCCAACAAACGTCACATTGAAAGCATTTCAGATGATAAAGTGAACTAAAGATTCAACACTACTTCTTAGGAGTTAGATGTAATGCTCTAATTTTTATTGTGAGTGAGTGGGGAGACGTGAAATCCATCAGAGCAAGAGAAGTCGATCCACCCTCTGTACTTCAGTCCTACTTTACAGAACAAACCAGGTTTCGCCCTAGATTAAGGAGAAAATGGACTTTAGCTTCCTGCAAAAGAAAATTTTTCCCACCTATATGTAACTGAAGATGACAGCATTGGTTTTTGTTTATTTTTCCTGCAGAAACAGTCCAACTCTTACGATATGTTTATGAGAGGGGAAGAAATATTGTCAGGAGCTCAAAGAATTCATGACCCTCAGCTGCTAACAGAGAGAGCCTTACATCATGGAATTGGTATACAACTTAAATAAATTTAAGAAAGTATTCTAGAAATAGCACATACATATTCTTTTTGTTTTTAAGACTTAGAAATAAGTTAATTTTTATCATAAGTGAACAATCATTGTTTTATAGCTGTTTAAATGACAATTATCTATGTGTTTTGTTATTATTAATTTTGTTCTTAGTGAAATTATACTCAGCACAACGATTCCTACATGTAACATGGTTTTTTATTTGTTGTTTCTTTGTTTTAGATTTAGAGAAAATTAAGGCTTACATCGATTCCTTCCGCTTTGGAGCGCCTCCTCATGCTGGTGGAGGGATTGGTAATATCTTTTACTGTTCTGTCACACTGGTTTCTACCAAGATTCATGGACAGCACAATTACTTAGTTCGAACTAAATTTTTTCTGTATTTAGAATTCAAAAATAAAATTTTGCATTTTATCACTGCTTACAAATCAGACCATAAATGTTAAGTATAATACAAACTTGAAATATAGAATTTTTTTTAAGTAAATGACAAATGAAAATTTTATTTCCAAGGAACAAAATGAACTCCCAACCAATGTTCGAATAGTACTGTAATAAAATTCTAGCCATCCTTTTCCCATGTGAGGTTAGAAACAAACTGTCTTATAAAATGGTATCCTATTTCTCTCTGCAACCTTGAGCTCGTTCAGATAAACCCAAATTAAGGCTCTCCCTTGAATTAGCTCAGTTTGAACTAGTTCAAGGGAGAGCTTTAATTTGGGCTTATCTACTACATATTTTTATTAAAAAGTAGTATTTGTCTGACATGTAGGATCAATTCTACAGCTTATGTAGTTTAAAATGAATAAATGTTTCTTCAACTCAGTTCTTGGATATCTATAGCAAAGACTCATAAGAAGAATTATGGGAATGTTTTGCCTCTCTGCACTGGTACATGTTTAAGACTGACCATAATCAAGAATAAGTTCCGCATATAAGCAAAATGTCCAACACAGAATCTGTAGCTAATGAGGATCAACTCAATATATTCCAAACAAATCCAGGATTTCAAATTTAAAAGTTATATAAGATATATATTCACCTCCCCTCAGGAAATCATTGTTTTCTGCCTGCCTTTTGCATAAGCAACAAATACTATATATACACACACATCTATATCATTTTAGTATTTTTACACAAGTTGTCAGATAAAACATCTGGAACCTCAGATTTTTTTCACCTAAAATTTTTGTAGCTCATTCCATATTAATACATAAAAAGCTTTTTCATTTTTTATGGCTACGTAGAATCTAATGAAAGGGTGCACATTAATCTTGATAGCCAGCTTTCTGCTAATGGACATGAGGTTGTTACCAGCCTTTTGTTGTTCCAAACAATACTATATTTAATTACAGTTTCAATTTTAATGAAAAATTTAGAGCTAATTTTTCATATTTGGTAATAATTTATCTTGCATTCATACTTTACCAACCTATATGATTAATTGAGGGTGTAAATCTTAACCTTAATTTTGAATGAGGAAGCTGGAATGGTTATAACAGTTTTGCATACTTGTTTTAGCTACACACACACAAAAAAAGAAAGGAAAGAAATTTCAAAATACCATCTGTCTTTTTTAAGTTACCTTTTTTTTCTACTTTGTCAGCGCTTGTTTACCATTCATATATATCTTGATTCTAACATTGAAAATGCAATCCCACTCCCTCCCTGTGTTTACCATTTCCATTTGTCCTTTCTCTTCTATCCCTTCCTTTCTGAGGTTTATCCCTGGGCAAATACTGCCCTTTTGAACACATGCCTATGGTTGATTAGTGTCAGATAATACATCTGGAACCTCAGATTTATTACATACCTCCCTGGTGTTATTGTTCACCTTCTACCCTGTGTTTCCTGTGGCTGAGAGTTGAGCCATAGTTGCTGAGGGCTAAAGAGTGGCTGAGGGCCATAGCCTCAAGGGTTCCTACCACTCTGGACCTGACCAGTGTGCCTGGGTTTTTTTATGACTTGAGTTTTGTTTTGTTTTTAAGGTTGGAAAAGCTTTATTGGGGGACAGGCGGCACAGGGCCCCGTATGACTTGAGTTTTGTTCCACATTTTTCTCCCATTTTATCCAGAACTTCCCATTGTTAAACTTTTCAGACAGCAGTAGTAGCTGGGCACCATCTAATTCTTCTGGTCTCAGGTTCATGGACACTGGAGTTTGCATGGTCCATTAGCGCCTTGAACTAATTGTTTCCATGCATCTTAGGTTCTCTTTTCTATCTTTTAATAATTAAGTTTTGACAAGACAGGACTTTTAAGTCTTAACATTACTGTAATACAAGGTTCAAATGTACATCTGCAGATGTTTCTTGGTGGGCAATCACAATAAAAATGTTAATTCCCTTATTTCCATTTCTGTCTTGGAGGTTCGATACACTCTTTTAAAATCTTTAAAATTAGAAGTTGTTACTGTACAAAAATTGTGACCTTGCCCTTTTTTGTGCATAAGATGTCAGCCTTAAATTTCCATGAAATCAATCAAAATACACACAAAATAGTTCTGCTGTGCTTCTTGTGTGTTACTTATCTTAATTCAGTCTCTGGTACACTCACAATATTTAGTATCATAATGTGCTATATAGCCATTTATGGAAGGAGCCACCATACTACTTGTGAGTAAAATTTGAACAGATTTCGAATATTCCATGAATAAAGTTCCTTGGATGTTTTCACATTCTCTCACACTGATGGTCTGAGGTACTTAATTAGAATATGGTAGCATTTGAAAATATTTTTATGAACTGGTTTATCTTGCTTCTTATTATTTAAATCATAAATTGCATAATTTATCATTCTAACTTAATACCTGAACTTTTTGTTGTCATTAAACTCTCCATAATAGAAGTCAATTTCCTTCCTAACAGAAAAGAATATTTTGAAGAGCAATGATGTTATTTATTTTGGTTATTATAAGGAAGAGCCTGAGAGGTTCCTTTTTTAGAAAATTCATGATTGTTTTTATTTCCCCCAGGGTTGGAACGAGTGACGATGCTGTTTTTGGGGTTGCACAATGTCCGTCAAACCTCGATGTTCCCCCGTGATCCTAAACGACTCACTCCTTAGAGGAAGCCGTGCTATTTATTCTGCTGTACCTTAGACACTTACTGTATGCAATAGGGTAAATGTCTTATCTAAAGTGCCACAATTAATTTTTTTATTAATTCAAGATAGGTTGATTCAAAATGAAGATTTTTATACTTTCAGCATGTTCAGCAGGAAATACTTGAACATTTTAATGAAAAATTCATATGGTTATGCTGTAAAATCATATTCTAATACCACAGTAAATGTTAACAGTTTTAAACAGTTAAACCATGTAATTTTTTTCTTTCCTATATTAAACTGGCCACAAAATTGAGGTCTTAAATTTTTAACATTTGAACTTATCATTTCAATTACGACGGTGAAATAACAGTTGGAGAAGTATCTAACATTTTTGTTAAAGAATAATTGGTTTATCATGAAAAGTTAGAAAGTTTTCATACTTAAAAATTATATAAAGCAGGTAAAAATACTAGTTGGAAAACATTTAATATAATGTATTAGATTGGTATAATGTAAACCTGGGTTTCAATAAAATTTCAAAGCTAACTATATTGTGTCTTTGTGTAACATGGCAATTTGATTTTTTTTTAAATCATTTTATTGGGGGCTTGTACAATTCTTATCACAATCCACACATACATATATGGAGTCAAGCACACTTGTACGCCTGCTGCCATCATCATTCTCAAAACATTTTCATTCTACTTGAGCCCCTGTCATCAGCATCTCATTTTTCCCTCCCTCCCCATCCCTCACACTCGATAATTTATAAATGATTGTTACTCTGTCATGCCTTCCACTGTCCGATGTCTCCTTTCGCCCACTTTTCTGTTGTCCGTCCCCCAAGGAGGGGGGTTACCCTGTTTCCTCGAAAATAAGACATACCCATAAAATAAGCCGCAGCAGGATTTCCAAGCATTTGTGCAATGTCAGCCATCCCCCAAAAGTCAGACACAGTGGTAGGCGGCGTGGCTCTGAGTGCACCGGTGCGGAGCGGTCGCGAAGGCAGGCAGCCCTTCTCACGTGCCACAAGGTCGGCTCCCCTTCTCACGTGCCACAAGGTCGGCTCCCCGTCAGGTCCCAGGCGGTCGTTCCGGGTGCTGCGAGCCGAGGCACAGAGGGCAACATGGACAGTGAGTAACAGTGTGCTCGGTGAAGGGAGGAGCAGGAGGCTCTGCTTTCGGTATTGTGTGTCCTGGGGAAGAAGGAAAGCTGTGGCTGCCGTTTGACTCAGCACTGAGTCACCGATGTTCAGAAGAAGACGACTTCACTGTATGTGATCAGTGTAGATTGTTACACCGGACTTAGTAAGAAGAAGGCATCCCCTGAAAATAAGCCATCGGGTGTCTTCTTGAGGAAAAATAAATATGACAGTGTCTTATTTTGGGGGAAACACGGTATGTATAGATCCTTGTAATCAGTTCCCCCTTTCTACCCTACCTTCCCTCCACCCTCCTGATAACCCCACTCTCGCAACTGGTCCTGAAGGGTTCATCTGTCCTGGATTCCCTGTGTTTCCAGTTCCTATCTGTACCAGTGTACCTCCTCTGGTCTAGCCAGA